TGCACCACTGACTGAGGATCGTGTGAGCGAAAGGCTTTTCAGGGAGTAAAGGGTAATCAAAGAGCTGGCTGGCATTCGTCATAAAGTACCCGAAGGAAGGAATTTTTTGTGGATCAATGATCCACCGTATAAGGTTCGTGTAGGCCATAGAAATAATGCCTAAGGGAAGCTCCGAAAGGTCGGTGGATGGTCAATTGACCAGGGGATTGCAAAAAGTAAGTACTGCCTGAGGGGAGTAAGGAGATGGGAGTGGCCCCGTAAAATGCGGGGGCCAGACGAAGTGTGCGTTCATCTCTCTTCTTGTATTTTCGTTCTCGTGGACGAAGCTGGAGTTCTGTAGGAACTCATCCACCAACTCTCTCCTCCTGCTCCCTCTGAGTACGGCCTAAGTGGACACTAGCCTGAGTGGCTCTTTAACGGGTCAGTGGGACCTAGAGATTAGGTTATCGTCACGGCACGGACCAGTTCGACTCTCGGGAGCGGCATCTCACTTCCACGCCACCCACCTGCTCTACGACAGACTCCTTCTCTACAACTTATTCATTCACTGCCTATATTTATTGTCTCTTTTCACTCACCTATTGTTTGTTACTCTTGACAAATTAGTTACTCAAGTGTCTTGCTGCCTTGAAAGTTATTGAGGCTATAACCAGTTGATCACGAATCAACTACATTTAAAACTCCTCGCAGCCAAATAGTGTTTGTATGGACAATAGAATTTTTAGGAACATTCTCAGTTTTTTGCACGACTTGGTGGCATCAAATGTTTCCCCATACGTTAGGTAAACGGCAAAATCGCCCTTGAGCATCCGGCTTGCGAGCGCGCGGTCCCGGCACGATTGCCCTGACGTTACAACACCAGCCGGTGTTGTATGGCGCGCGCTCGTACGATCGCACCAACCACGAAGTATGGCTCCGAGGGTCAGGCTACGCTAATGTTTTTGTTCGCAAAAGTATGACCGCAGAGGAAAGAAAGAATGACTACGAACTGAGACAACTAGCGCGTGAAAGAAATAAGGCAAAAGCAGTCGTGAATGGGTTGTGTACCGTGGGCAACTCAGAAAAGTCTCAGATCTTCCCCGGAGAAGATTGGAAAACGCTTGAGTATGCATGGTACTACAGTGTCATCTTCATCTAGATTACTCGATTCTCACTACTCGGTTAGTAATGCCAAGCATCACCTTCATTCCCATTCATCTTGCGATGCCCCTGACAGCAAGAGGCAAAGTATCCCTGAATCTGATTCTAACCACATTATGCTAGGTGCTCCTGTCCTCCTTTTCTGCACTTTACTCAACGCTCAAAGTCTAGTGAACAAACTCAACCACCTCCAGCTGTTTCTTTCGAAAAATGAACCTGACCTATTGTTTGTTACGGAGACCTGGTTAACATGTAAGATCAAGAATTCTGAAGTATCATCCCTGTTTGTTACGGAGACCTGGTTAACATGTAAGATCAAGAATCTGAAGTATCGTCCCGTCTACCGTATGATGTAGTACGGTTGGATAGGAGTGATAAGAGAGGTGGTGGAGTTTGTTGTGTTATCAAGAATACACTTACCTCACGAATCGTACGTCACGACATTCGCTCCAAAGCTGATGTACTGTGCGTTGATATACTACCCCACTATGGTTATTCCCCCTTCCGATTTGTTATAGTGTACCGCCCTCCCGATTCTCTGATTAGTGATGACGAAAATCTCATTGAGTTGCTCGCCACCTTTATAAGTACTGAACGTGAAACTGTGATTCTTGGCGAT